CAGGGACCCAACAGCGGTCAGCCGGGTCGGACCCCGTCCAGTCCACCAGGTATTGGAGCGTGCCGCGACGTCTGCGGGAGTCCAGGATGGAGTGGGCATGACACAAAGGGTGTGTAAGACTTGTCATTAACTCTAAATGCTGAACCAACATCTTGTTACAGCTGAAATAATCTATTCTCATAGGTATTATCAAGATTAAACACAAATAGTGAAAGGGCTTGAATCACGAAAATGATTGGTGTACATTGTACAGTACTGGACATCAAGAATCTGTGATTAAAAATTGGCTGGCATGATTTTGTTTATACATATTACAGCCGAAATACTGAATATTGAATAGGAAGCTAACTTTACTGTGGCCTAGTTTTGCCTATATTTTGATCAGACTGCGCTACTCTCTTTCACTCTGTGCTCTCGCCCCTCTTCCTGTTACATCAGCACAAGCAGGTAGAGTACAATCACCCACCGTGCTCAGAGTTATGAGGAACGCCAGCTGTTTTTTAATGTACTTCCTGAAAACAAATAATTAAAAAAATATTTGTATGATTTTTTTTCCTCCCATAAGGTTAAGTGTTTACCGGTATTTGTTTTGAATGGAATGAGGGAACATGTGTTTCATAATCAATTACTGACAAAGTGAGAAAGCTAACAAGAGAATGTTGTTTTCTGCATATGACTCGTGGCAGCTTTGAGAGGAATCATTTGATGTTCATTGATTTTATCTCATCTCCTCTCTAAGAGGCACTTGGTATAATGTCTAATTCAACTAATGAATGCCACTCTCCCCTTGGCTTCATTCAAAAAGAGTTTCTTTCTTAACTATTACTATATGTAATAGGTTTGCAAAGGCACATTTTTGAGGTATATTTCTTAATGCAATATACAGTATCTTAATATTGCAACTGGAATACTGAGATAATGTCAGGGTCAGTGTGTCCGATCCTGCCCTACGTGTTCCCTTCCTGTTTGGCCAGCAGGTGTCGCTGGCCATCCTGTCCTTTTGCCTGTTTCTTGCCCTTCCGCCCCAGTGTACCTAAGTTCCTAGTGTGTTTTCCCAGTTCCCCAGACTGAGTATTCCCTAGGCTGAGTGTGCGGCTGAGATTCTGTTCCCTTGTATTGTGGGTTCAAGGTTGGTTTGAGACCAGTCTCACCTATATTTTTGTTCTCTAGTGTTTATTTGGTGTTTTCTTATTCTAGAGTTTCGCAAGGTTTATTGTGATTATTTCTGTGTTCTTGTTTCTAGTTTTTCCTGCTGGTATGTCCCGTAGTCCTTACAGTAGATTCTTAGTCTTTAATGTGTGTTAATTCTCTTAGTTATGTGTGTTCTGAAAGTGTTCTTAGTTCTTAGAGTGTGTTCATCTGTTTCTCGTTGCTCATGTGTCTCCCTTGATTGGTTCACTGATTAGGTTACACCTATTCCATGTTTTCCCTGGATGTCTGTGTATTTAAGAGCCTTCCCTCACTCTTTGCTTTAGTCTGCTGTTGTGATGTCATGATGTAATTTTGTTAGGTGCGTTGGTCCTTGTATCCTGTTCCTGGTTCTGCTCTCTGTGTTGTCCTGCTCCCTGGATGTGTTTCTCTTATGGTTTTTGTAGTTTGTTTTCAGTATTAAATTTTGTTAGTTTTCTGACCCCTCGTGGTCTTTAATTTTGTGTGATTCCCAGTGTTCTGTACCTCCCTAAGTAAAACCCCTTTTTGTTTTGGAGCTGCAAGTGGATCGTCCACCTCATTTCCTGCCTGAACCATGCCCCGTCACCATGACAGATAATGCTGGTTGAATTGTATTCCAGACTATGCTAAGTAAACCGATTTAGAATATAGCACTGTGTGTGAGTTTTGGTAGCACTAAAAGTGAGAAAGAATAAATGCTAAGCAACGTATTTATTGAAAATTTTATTTTTCATTCTTAGACATCCCCATGGCTCTCCAATGTCGGGTGAAGGCCAAGACATTTAATATTATTATTATTATTATTATTATATTATTATTATGTTACCTGCCTGCACTGATACCACCTCTTTATACCCCTAGCAGTCATCTTCCTAACCTCAGATTAGTGTCACAGTCCATCTCTGTCAATCCTGTCATGTTCCCTTTTTGCCAGCAGAGAGTGCTGGCCATCCTGTATCCTCCCCTCTGGCTCCTAATTACCCTCACCTCTTCCCAGTTATGCGTAATTCCTAGTGTTTGACTTGTTTCTAATTTCCTGTACCCAGGGGTGTTGCTAAAGATTTTGGGCCCCATGAAAGCATATCATTTTGGGCCCCCCAGTCCAGACCAATCCAGTTATTTTCCAAATTTTGTAGGGCCCCTGTCACTCCGGGACCCTTGGAATCGTCCTGACCCCCCCCCCTCCCCCCTTACGGTGTACCTGTCCTTGATCAATCTTTATTTTCTCCTGATGTGTGTAAGTGCCTGCCATACCCTGTTCCTTAGCTGGTCATTATATTGCTTCCCACTCATGTTGTTCTGTCCATGTTTGTTATAATGTTACCTAAGTCTACCCTGTCTTCAGGTCAGCCATTGTCTCTCCATAGTTTTCTTTCCTACATCCTGTTTTGACCCCTCACAGTCCTTTGGTTTATGCTTCTGTTTGTATGTCTGCTCCTAAATAAAGTCCCCTTTATTTTTTCCTGAGATACACATGGATTGACACTCCTTTCTCGCATTCATTCATGATGGTTAGCACCTGGATGTCTGGTAATTTTTTAACCAATGTTCCCCTTGTAAAGTGTAGCTGCTCCTTACTGGTGTAATTCTAACCAGGGTTTAGAAATGACCCATTTCATTGTTAAAAAGCAACTTCATACTAGTAGTCAAAAAGCACTATTCAACATTGAAAAATTGAGCCCTTCCTGAATATGAAGTGAAATGTTCAACACTGAATTGGTGAGATCAATATGCCTTTTAAAGGTATTTCTGAAAATATATATGGTCAGCTCAAAGTCTGTTAACATACCTTTAAAAAGGTATTACTAACAAAGTAACCCAAATGTGTAGGCTGAGATGATGCTCACAGATTCTCTGAAATACAGAACTAAGAATAACCTGGACACTAAAGTGGAAAAGTGGTACTGTAACATTAAACCTGCAGAACGTTGTACCATTTTGGTTTTTGTTCCCATGCTAAAGATATGTTACGTTGTATTCTATTAGATTCCATTTATTCTCCTTACTGAATTAATTATATGTCTGCTTTTTTATTTCTGCAATTTCTGTTGTTTATTTTTTCATTGTTTTTTTCCAATAAATGCTCCTTTTATTTTCAAGTGGTGGTTTTATATTGAATGTAAACTCAATTATTGTACCTTCCAAGCATGAGTAAATCAAGTTATTCTTGTCCACCAAAGCTTCTTAGAGCTTTTGTTGTCAGTCAACTTAGGTAATTTAATTGTGATAGACTGGTCTATTCTATATTGTCTCTCACATTCACCCTTAGATCAAGGTCTTGCCTTTTAAGGGAAAAAAATAATTGAATAAATGTTGCTGATTGAAAGGTATAAAAAATGTAAAGGCCCACAGAAAGTTGTTTGTGCTTATTAAGGTTAACAGATGGACACAAGGGAGAAATCATACTGACAAGTTGATGTAGGGTCTCTTTACCTCAAGACAGCAGAACTGCTTCTACAGTTTGTTTCTCTTCAATGGATAATAGAAGAGTATTGTCCCACACACTCAATGTATGCCTTTTATAACTTTTATAACTACAGTAGGGTTTAAAAAAAAGAGAAGTATACACACTGACACTGGAATCATTCACAAATAGGTATATGGATACTTTTGAAGATTTACATGCTTTATAAAGAACACAGAGGATTTAGATACTCAGTTCTTGGTCTTATTACTAATTTTATGTCACTATTGACTCTTTTTAGGGTTATGAAACCATCAAATTGTATCAGCCATCCATTTCAGGCATCATATTTTGTAATGTTCTGCTTAGACCTTGTTTTCCTTTTTACCCATAACAGAATAGACAGTTTCTCCCACTTAAGTGGGAGTTAATTGTAAAGATTATTATCCCCACCTACAATCTGGAGGGGAATCAGCAGGACTGAAATGAGTCTTCTTGATTTGTCATTGCCTAACATTATAGATTAAGTCCAAAATATTGAGTCAGCCAGCAACAACCTTGCATTTTATGCTGACCCACCCCCACAGAACATACTGTATCACAAAAGTATATGAAGACAAAATGGAACTGAGGTGTTGTTACAGCACTGAATCCTCAGCATGACCCAGGTATTTAAAATTGCCATCAAGGCATTAATGACCAAGAAATGCTAAAAAGAACCAAAGAGAATACTGGAGAGAACCTACTGAAGATCACCTCAGCTTGCTTAAAAGGTTTCCAGTCCTCTCTTTGGTTCTTCTTAGCATTTCTTGGTCATTGACGCCTTTTTGAATTAAAGGTGATCACAATTATGTCTGGGAACAGTTTCAATCTAGAGATAAAATGACACATACTTCAAAACGCTCTTAAGGATGTAAATCACCTCTGCAGAATATGAGTACATCCTCCTGTCACTGTGCCCCCCCCCACGCCCAGCAGAACCACTGCAGCCCAAAGGTAGTCATTACCCAGAAGATGTGGAGATGGGAGACCATTAGTATTGACATATCCATGACCAGGCCATTGGTGCATTAGGAATGAGAGCCTCCTTCAGGGAGAGAAACCACCAGATCCCGGCTTTTGCTGTCCTTCACAAGGGCCATCCACTGTAGGGGCACATGGTCAGTTACTAGTACAACCTCTACAACCCCCTAGGTAGCAGCACAGCTCAGTCTCCACCCACCGTGGCTTCATTCCGTACTGCAGCATGCCTTACTTACACAGGTATTAACTTGTGAATCAGGTATAACACTGAATGCACTTCAACTGCAAAGTCCTGGCATTAAGCCCAACTACCCTGGTGCTCTGTCCAGCACACTGAATACACCTTCACCAGTGGCTGCTGACCAATAGAGGGCACTATATAACTAATATATATATATATATAAAAACTAAGGGGCAATGGATTTATCGACCGGGGAGTCAATAGTATTCCGCAGTCACCTTGGGTTGCCATCTTAGTGCAACCATATTCAGTACACTGCATACAATGACACAAAATAACTTCATATGAAAAGCAAAATACTTGTGAGCAACCATCTGTTTACTTTCTTCGTCTAGACCCTGAATATAAGAAGACACTTTTTCAGAAGTATTTTGAGGGAAAAAAACCTGTCTTATACACGGGTCAATACGGTTTTTCAAATGTCGTGGGTAACACCGAAGCAAATGAAAGCAATTAAAGGTAATTTCCTGATCGATTAATTTTATCCCTGGATGTGCGGCCTTCATTTAGCCGGAGGAGGGGCAGTGGGCAAGAGTCATTCACAAGTCTGATGGCCTGTGGGCAGAAGCTGTCCTGTAGTCTCAAGGGCTTTGATGTCACATTCCTGCAGCATCTTCCTGATGGTAAGAGTGTGAATTGGTTGTGCTGGGGGTGAGTACTGTCTGTTATGATGCTGTGGGCCCTGATAATAAATGCTCTCCAGAACTGGTATAACTGTTCCAGAAATACTTTTGCTAGTTCTTACCGCCCATTGTAAGACTTGTGACAGTCCTGTCATGCTTATTTGAGAAAGCACATCTTTACAAAGCTTGTAGTTAGAGTATGGAATAGTTTTCCTGTTAGTGTAGTGCAAGCTAAAACCTTGGGTTCCTTTAAATCAGAGCTAGATAAGGTTAAGCTATTAGCTATTAACATTAAGCTATTAGCTGAATTCTCTCCTAAGTTTCACAATGGCCCTAAGTTGGAAAAAAAACTCCTCTTAACCATTGCATTTATTTGCCTGTCAAACTTAAGGGATGGATAAAAGACGACGCCAAGGTTTTTGACCCAAGTGCTAATATTAGCAGATAGCTTGCCTAAACAGGTATTAATACTGCTTGCTGTGGTAGTCTGACCAAAGAAAATAATTAGTAGTATAGCAGGTACACTGGGCCTCCCTATTGAGGAAAGGGGAAAGAAGCTGGTCCCATCCTGGGAATTCCATAACTCCCTCTCAGTAATCACCTTCAATGAGTAGAATTAAGCCTCTGTATCATGAAGGGTGAGCTTGGTGAGCATCTCCTGTGGTTTCCACCAATCTTCCGGGAGAGGAGTCCACCGTGTCTCAGTTAGGTCCTGCAGTACCATTACCTCTATCAGCATGGTTATCTGCTGGATAATGGTGGCATTGTGCTCCTCAAGGAACCGGGCCCATTCCTCTACAGTGGCTCCGTTACTCTGGAAGAACAGACCGATGGGTGTATTGGTTTATTTGGGTATCTTGTAACACGATTGCCTAAACCTAAATCCTCCATGTAAACAATGGATCTTTCACAAGGCTCATCCCAGAGACAATGGTGTTATACTAAGCAAGTTATACAATCCAAGGAAACGGGTGAGGGTTGCTAGGGAGAGGAGAGGTGGTGCAGGAGTGCTGAGAGGAAGTGGGTGGAGGGGGTGTCAGGCTGAGAGGAGATCCAAGGATAGAGGTTGCAGTCCAAAGTCCTCTACTATGTATCAGTCTCATCTCTCTGCTGGACTTAGGTATGAGCAACATGAGCAGGTGGCATCTTACTGCAGATGGCACAGAGCAACCACACACACACACACACACACTCACACACACACACAAATCAATCATGACACTTGTGCAACCAGTTTTCTACCACCCATTTGCACCTCATATCAATTATATCATATCACCATGTGGGTCAATTAACCTTGTTGAAGTGGATGCCCTGCTTCTAGTTTGTAACTACTGTAGGCAGGCTACCACAAAGAAGTATGAGATGGGGAGGGAGATGGGGCTGGGCTGACCTCAGGTTGCCCCAGTGGAAGCCAGAGGTAGAGGGAGCAGGGCAATCTATCAAATAGCACACTGCTAACCGTACTAATGCAATGCGTAACATCCATTTTAAATTAATCATAATTTATTTGTATTTTTCCTAACTACTTAATGAAAATTACAGTGCCGAATGGTGTTACTTTCTTGGGGGGTGGGGGTAGTATGAGATAAACACACATTTTTTGTTGGGGGGGGAGCCTGAAGGGGGTGGGGGGTTAACCAGGGAGCAATATAAGCTAGAACCACCACTGGGAAGGAGAAGACAGGTTCTGGAGAGGGGAATGTCAGTGAGGAGCGAGGTCATCATCTCCCCAGTGTCCGACACTGGGGAGGCTTTTCCTCTCAGGAAGGTCATGAGTCTGTTCCCCTTTATGCTGGTTGATTAGGAGTTTAACCTGCATCTAGCTGTCAATCATTTTGGTGACCATAGTGGGTCTCAGAGGCACTGTTCTTACAATACTTAGTATTAACTGGTACTGCAACTATACCAGAATGATTTTGATCTAAGAAGCCAAAACCTTCACACAATATTTTTTTAGTCCTTCTTGATTCATGTATCAAACAGTGAGTTATAAGTGAAATAATTTTAAAAATGCAAAAAAGAAACAAAAAAGTTTTGCATCCTCTTTTCTATCAAATTGATACGTAAGTGTAGCAGAAGAGTGGGAATAAGACCTCCCATAAAATCTAAAAATAACTGAATCCTAGGATTTTTCTGTCATGCTGCTGTGTACTTTCACATTTTTGAGGGCTAGATTCCATCTGCATACCAGTTGGGCATTTCTGGATATAATACATGCTATGCTGCCCAGGAAATCCTCTAAATCGCTTAGAATCTAACTGGATAAGTGATTTTTAAGTGGAAAGCTGTATAGAGAGTATTTCCCTGTATTGAAGAAAACCACGAGTTTAAACATGCTATTTCATTTGAGTACTTATTAGTTACGGTAAATTAATGTCAAATTATTTGATGCAAAGAGTATATTACTAAGGAATCATGAAGTGCAAAATCTATTAGTATGACAAGGAGCATATTTTACTACAGTTCCGCAGTTTGATTATTCCCACCAGGGAAAGTCACATATTTATTTCTTTGTGTGCAACAAACAACCACCAATTTCATTATCAAGATTTGGAATTTTGCTCGGAAATCTCATACAGCCTTTCATTTATATACTGCATTTAAATTTGGAGAGCATTCACTATCCAAATGAAGGTATCTAGTGGGCCACCTATTGAGATCTCCTGCGGTACAAAAAAAATCTCATCAAATGCAAACCCCTCTCGTGGTTGCCGTGGTAGGATCACTGCAGCAATATATCTAAGTGACATTACAGAGTTGTAGTATCCCTTCTAAAGATTGCATAGAAACATCAAGTGCAAGCCAATATATTATAAAAAAATTTGGCTTGCTTAAAAACTCAGAACTAATACTATTTTTATATAACAGTATCAAATGGGAAAATGGCTGACCATTACTAATTTGATACATTTAATATTTTCATTTGTGCATTGCAGAGAAACAATGCCATAAAATTGAAAAGTAGACTTCTATTGGACAGTGGCATTAGCAGAAAATTTTGATTGGGGTGGCCATCAGGGCCAGTTATATTTTGGGGGTGATCGCACCACTATCTACCTATCTACTCTATGGTTCAATTTAAAACATAAAAAATGCATATGTCCTTTTTATTATTTTGATGTTGGGTGCCAACATGGATGGACATGTATTTACTTGTGTTTACCTTGGCCACTCGAGATTTGCCCCACTTTCGGAGAGAGTTGAGGAGAATCTCTGGGCACAGTTCATTAAAATGTGTGAAAAATAGTTTAGAATGTTTAGAATGATATAGATACTTCCAGTTATTGAAGTAAATTCAACAAGATAACACCAAGCATACAAGCATACAAGACCTGTAAATAATTAGTACCCTGAAGTACTGAAAAAGTACAGCTTAAAAAGACAAATACACTTTATTCTTAAGCTGTTCTTTCACAGACAAGGTGATATCCGTTGGGTGTTCATTGCCTTTAATTAAAGTGGCAAATGAATCTTTAAAACCAAAGAAAGAGTGTGACTGACACCAAGTGGATATTTGGCATACAACATAGGTTGGCACTGCAGTTATCTAATGGATAACTTAGGGATTTTTTCACTCTACAGCTAGAGTGATAAAATGTTTGCATGTTTATTCCTATGATATATTATCATCATCATCATCATCATTATCACCATCATCATTGTAATCATCAATATTATTATTGGTACTATTCAGTTTATGTTAATTCTTTCTATACTGTGTTTTGTCAAGACCTTACCAGCAACATTAATTATGGTGATAACTGAGGGCTTCCATCTTGTCGTTAGTCATCCTCTTTCTCTTCTACCTTAAACTTTTCCAAGCAATATAATCTTTTCCAATGCACCGAGTCTACCAAACTAAAGTTAGCTTTATTCTGACCATTTGTGTGTGTGATCCATGCATATGAAAGTGACCACATGATTCATGCTTTAACAAATGTACTGTATGGGCTATTGAAAATGAGAAGAAATTCAACGGAACGGGAAAACAAGGTTAAAATGCTTACGTTAAAACGCGCAGAAGAGAGTCTTGCAGTATCTCACAATCGTTGGTGTTTAGCGACACCTGCTGGGAATTAAATCGCGTTCCTGCGAACAGAAGCTCATTTTTAGTGTTCAATAATAGTGTTGAAACGTACAGAATAATTCAAGACGTTGTCATTGCTTACAAATAAATATTATTTGCACTCGTCAAGTCATGAGGTCATTTAAATTATGCATTCTACCTTCAGTTTATTTCTTAGAGGAAAGAAAAAGAACTTCAAAAACTAAAGTGCTGGTGAGAGAACGTGTTCATGCAGCAAGTAATGAATTTTGCATCAGGAATTATTTTGCATTATTACTGTTCCCATTATTTCTTTATATGTTTTAGCGATTGAAATACAACTGTTATTTTCCAGTGGTGGTTAGATTTGCGCACGAAAATGAAAGAAGTTCCAATGGAAAGGACAATTTCTAAGGAAGTCCTCTGCAAACCGCCGGAGTAGAACTGTCTAAGTGAACGCATGCGCAGCTCAACCTCTGCCTGCTTCTAAGGGTGTCGATTCTGAAGCTGGAACAGTAGAGGAAAAGATACTGTATTTATATACACAAAACATATAAAAGAAACGGATGTGCTTCAGAAAACGAAACGGCTGCCGCCCGCCAGGTCCTTTTAATGCAAATACTGTAAGTATTATATCATGGTTACGGCAAGATCGTTAGCTAGTCATTGGATGGTGGGTTTTCCCGTTTTTAAAAGGTCTGTGATTCCTCAAGAATAGATCGCCTTTAACTGTCCCGATTCCCCATGATTCGAATACTGCTGGATTAAAATATTGTTCAGGACATACATTCGGATACTTGAATAAGTCTTTTCGGGAATTAGCGGCTGATCGTCCTCGCTGGTGAGTCCACCGCGCTTATTCGTAAGTGAAGAATGATTACCGCTTATTTTTTACTTGTATGCTTAATTTTTGTGACTGGTAAATTGCCCCATGTTCAGAATCGCAGCTAAGATTTGTATTTTCTAAGACGAAACATAACGCGAAGCTAGTTCTAACCATGCAGGGGTATTTTGAAAGAGGGAGTAATTCGTGTTCTAGAGTGTTTATTTTATGAATATGTAATGAATAATACTGAAGACCGTGAAGAGGTACGCACACTCGGTATTTCATGAGTATACCGGTTGTTTGAATTGACAGTTTTGTCGAGGAAACATCGGTTCAGCATAGCGGGCAAGCTGCGATTTCTCACTGGAGTATCGTTATGAAAGAGTGCTGTAATTGAACCGATGCAAGTCGATTGTTTTAATCACAATACCTCTGTACATGCGAATTATTTAAAACTCAGTATTAGACATGACATCCTTATAACAAGTTCACAGTTTCAAAGGGATCGTCTCTGTATGATTAAAATATATTGACAAATTCTAAAATGACTTTTAATAGGAACAGTCTGGAAAATAAACAGTGTGTCGACGTAACCGATTCCGTGTGAGGCTTGTGTGTGTGTTCTTATTGCACGTTGCCTAGGTGGGTACAGATGCTGTAGCTCCAATATTGTATTTTTCCTGCTTCTTCTCCGGGTTTGCGTGTCCCTCTCTTCACATCTCCGCCGTTCTTGTATAGTAAGGCACGCTCCCGGCGCTCGCGCGCGACCTTTGGTGAATGAATGTCTTGGGCGCGTAGCGGATGCCGCGCTCTCGTACTGTGGAGGAAGGTAAGGGGGCGGGGCTTTCATGTCGCGTGGCGGCGTTGGTTCTCGGATGTGTTCTCGCCTGCCGATCGGCAGAGCGCGCGCTTTAAAGGGAAGGTAAATAGCGGTTAAGTGTCCGTCAATTTTGACATTTAATTTAGTGACATAAATGAGTCATATTACAGTAACTGTTTTAAGTATGATTCTTTTAGGAAGTTTTACCTGTTTTTGGTTTGGTTTGTCTGATGTGGTTTGTCTGGTGATCGGAAACGATGTCGTTATGTAAATAGTCCTGGAAAGTAGTTATCAAATCAGTTATGATGGCTTGTACATTAAAAATATTTGTACACACACACACACATGATGGGTTAGCGACATATTCAGGATGGGGGAAGGTACATGCTTATCAAGCACATTTATTCATCTTCTACTCTACTTTTATGGTATAATTTCAAATTTCAGGCCTTTAAGTACCGAGACATGGGCTTGTCAACTTTATGTGTGGTGCATGCTGATGATGATGAAAAATGTTTTGATTGGGGGGGGGGGCGTGTAATCAAGTTCAATTACACTGAAAACCAAACTGTCAAGTTTGTATGGTATGAGAGTTGAAGATATCAATACAACATCCCTTTATGGGTTTTTCTCTCTAATGTTTGTATGTATAAACCACACTTAATCTCATGTGAACTGTGTATTGATTTTATTTCATACAGTATATAGAAATAAATGAACAGTAGAAGTCATTCTTCAGATGGTCTGTGTGTATTTCATGAGCTTGAACAAAGGCAGAAGATAAGCTAAATGGATCCACTTCATGTTTTTGTTGCCTCTGGGTATAACATTATAAATATCCCAGGTTTAAAAAAACCTGCTTATTTATAACATTGCTAGTAATCAAGTACATGTTTGCATTGCTTTTGTGATGAGGATTAAGACTTCATTCAGCAAATTTGGTGGAGCATAAAGATTTTACCAATTAATCAAAGATGGGGCAAATGAATGGGTTATAACAGGGAATTTTGATTCATTCTGTATTTTGCATTTTCTGGTGTGCCACTTATAAATTGTATGTTGTAGTCAGGTCAAATTTAGAAGGCCCAATTTAACATTGTTTCAAAAGAGATTTTTTTGGTTCTTCAGTGATGGTGACTAAAGCTAGGCAGTATGACCAAAAATTTATGTTACGGTATTTTTCGAAGATATATATTTTTTTAAGTATGACTGGGCGTTTACTACATTTTACAGGATTTTACAGGACACTTTTTTGTTTTATGATTTTGCATTGTTTCGACATTAACTATATTATTTTATTATTAGCCAATGCGCCTATCCGCTACCTTAACGATAACATACGACTAACATGTTTGTTGGCTAACTGCTTATAGATAAACGGCTAATGTTAAGGTGTGCTCCGGCCAAGTTAACATTTTTGATAAGTGTTTAATAGTTTAGTGTTGCTGAAATGTGAGCTTTATCAATATCAATAATGGTGAAAATGAGTATCTAATCAGATACTAATTTTTAATATCGATTAGTATCTGAGAATCGACTTTCTGACAACCCCAGTGTCTCATTATTTTCAACTCCAACGTCAGCTATATCTTCCGTTTCTGATCTTTTGCGGTACATTTTTAGCGGTGCAGCAGTGAAAAAGGTCCCCCCTTCAACAGTTTCCAGCTGCGCCACTTTCCGAACGTTGTGTAGGCTATTTAAACCGGTATTGCGATAAAAGAAAAATTCATATCATAATAATAATAAAAAATGGTTTTCGGTATGAACCGGTATACCGCCCAACACTAATGGTCACATACAGGAGCGATTTCGTTAGTAATGATAGTGTAATTGATTTGTCCATTAATTTGAATGAATACCAGTAGCTTTGTGTTTCTAACAACCACAGGATGCAGGACGCTAGTTTCCAAATGACAGATTTTCAACACTGTCTCATTTGTTCTGACAGATCTTTTGTCACCGTTTACTCTTGTTTTATTCTGTGTCATCTCCTTCCCTTTTTTGTTGTCTTTCTTTTAGTTGCCTGTTTCCTCTTTCTTTCAGGCTCTTCTTCTTGCTTCCTCTCAGGTCCTAAGCTTGTAAAGGAGAAGCATGATATCGGACCTCAGCCTTTCTCCAGGCTTCGTCCAGTGTTTACTCCCAAATGGAGCCATTTGCAATGCTGACAGGAATAGTATTCAAATATTAATAACATTGAGAATTACACTTGAACCTGGATTGTGTCTAAGGGTTAAGTAATTTAATTTATATGCACCATTTATTACCAATGAATACCACATACCCGTGTTAATATTGCAGGTTTTTTATAAAAAGGCTTAAAAACTCAGAACTAAGACTAATTTCTGGGGTTCACAGCTGCCATTAATGACACACACTCCTTCAGTGATGCTATCAGGTTTTTCTTGTATGTTCCTTAGATAGTGTATCACTGTGTCCCTGAGTAGGTAGTTGCCCTGCCAAGGTCAAGCTATTTGCTATGCTAAGTGCTATAGACTGGAGTGTAGTCTTAGGTGGGAGGAAGCCTTGCAGTTTCTTGTGGGCCTTGCTATTTTTTTCTTTTTTTGCTTTTTCGTCCATATCCCTGTTAATATGCTCCTTTTCCTGCCAGAGCCATTCCAAGATAGACCTGATGCGTGAACATTATTCATTTTTAAAAGACAAAGTGGTGACTTATTACTGTACCTCAATGGTCATTTATACATGGGCCTGCAAAAAGAAATGGTAAATATCATTTTTTTCCCTAGATCAATTAAATAATAATTAAAATAACATTCAAAACAGCAAAAAATCAATCAAAACATTTTATTACGGTTCTGTGTTTTAAATCTGCAAAGTTACTAAACATTTTGTGTTACAGAAGGAAAGTTAAAACCCTGTGTTGTTCATTGTACCATGAGTAAGAATATCTCCTATCCTTCCTTGTGTTCCTGTGACACAGGAGGGATCGGCAGCCAGCAGGGGGATGACATGCGTGTACCCAGGCTGTTAACAACGTTGAGGATTTCCAGACTATCTGTCCGCAAGCCGCCAAGCCATGATGGACATACTGGTACGATATCCTCTCGCTTCTGCTCGTTCCTGTTCCAAGTAGTGTTCGTTGGAGAGCTCACTGGTCAACATTCCATATCACATAGTTAAGGTTCCATCCTGGGCTCTGGTTTTCTTTTTTGGGGGGGGTGGGGGGGGCAGTGGGGGGAATGCTACACGACAGTCGATCCTGCGCGTAACTCCAGCCTGCTTTTTTTTTCTTTTTTGGCCCAAAACTGCAGCCTTTTAGGGATGAATCAAACGATAAGCCTAGCTTGCTGAAACATGGAGGACGTGTTTGGAACATGTCTGGCTGGCCTAATCAAACACATTGGCTTCACTGGAGAGAGGACTCTGGGTTACATGAGCCATAGGTGTTTATTGGGTAATGCGGTTTTCCTGGGAGAAGTAAAAAAAAAGCCTAAACATTCCTGAAAGGAAAAAACATATGTCGTATTTTTGCAGACAACTAGGTTACAGGAGGAGTAAAGTTAATATACTGAAGTGCATTTACGGTATAATGTGCTGGTATGATGCTGTGTTATTTTCCTGTTTGACATAAATGTTTCGGGGAGAAATAGATAACACTGATAAATGTGATATATTTGTGATATACTGTATACAGTCAGTCATGTAGTCATGCAGTCAGACATTGATGTCTGGTTAGGTTTGTACCTGTTACTTCATGGTGTGACACATAGTGAGTTTCGTTTTAACATTGTAGTTTAGCTTTTGGAAACTTCTTGAAGGGTTGCCTGCATATTAAAGGAGATGCCAGGATGCTGAAACGCTTGTTTTTGAATGGGCAGTCTTGTACTCAGAAATCTACCCATTCTTTTTTTTAAAATGAGTAGCCAGGGCTTTGTGTTCTGAAGCAGTAGTTCTTAGATCATGGGTCTCGACCAAAAAGTGGGTCATGGGACTACTTTCATTGGGTTGTGTTATATTATGTCAGACTTTTTTTGTGAAGTGCATGAAGGCATTGTGCTATTGTTAAAAAACTATGTTCTATTTACCATTACTGCACTTTTTTGTGAAATAAATTTGGATCAAAATATTACGAATTTGGGTCATGACATAGGAAGGATGTAGATCATCAGGTTAAACTAGCTGAGAATCACTGGTCTAATGTAATGACACCTGCATCCTGAGAATAAAGCAAATAATCACCACAAAATATCAGGATGTTGATTTAAAAAGGAGTTTTACTGGAGAATTTACCCATCATCTGTTTCCATACATGTTATGTTCAAGCATGGGCGTAGTCAGAAATTCTAGGCCCCCTAGCAAAATGTCACCTTGCCCCCCAACCCAATTTTATCCATAATTTTACATGTTCAGGGGCCACTGTTAAGTCCTGGGCCCCCTGAATCTGCCAGGGTATCCATGTCCGTACTGCACCCTTGGGTGCATGCAGTGGCGTGGTGGTCAAACAGAACCTTAAGAAGACCAGGCTCAAGTCAGAAACAGGGTTATCATTTTTGATATGGGTTATCATTTTAAGGTGTCTTGTAAGCATTGTAATGTGATATGATTCTGTTTTCCCTAGCTGAGCCACAGCTGAGATGCCCCCCTGAGACCTTTTTAGAAACTCTGTCAAAACAACTGTTACTGTGGTAAAGGAGCGTGTCCCCCCTCAAAGCCACGCCTCCCATATTTAAGCACAGAAAGCTGTGGAACGTAGATCTAGACATGTAGTCTGCAAGCAGGACCCTGAAATAAAACATCCATTACCCCACTGTCATACCTGAGCAACCCCTTTGCTGTTCAATGCCTTACTCTGTGTAAAGGCTTTTTTAATTGTTATTTTAATTTTATTATTATTATTTTTTTTGTTATTGAGAACATTCATTTGCAAAACACATTTGCACCCTTCACCCCTACCCCGCCCAAGCCTTATCCATAACTAACCAAACAAAATCCGAGACTTTTGGCATTTTTACTTTTTTGGTTGCATTCACAGATCTTTGTGGGGACCTGAAAAATACAATCTTGATCACAGTTTTTTTTGTCTACAGACCAACTAAATTGGAATGTATGTAGTAATTTTAAACAACAACTGGTTGGTACTAATGTTAGTTAATCAACAAGTGGTTGTAGCATTAATTAAACAATAACATACTCGTTGTCATTCATTTTTGAGACAAATGGAAACGCAGGCAGGTTCTCAAAAGGCACCAAGTGGGAACCAGCCCAACACCAGCCCCATGTTGGTGAAAGTGAGGCATTTGTAACAGTTTTTAGACACACCTGTAAAGCGAAGTGATACGGCTGATGTGAAATACTCTGATAACCGCACTCACAGGACGCCTCTTTTCCAATCAGATATGTTGGTCGGAACTAATTGTTGTATAAAATAACATAAGTTGTTTTGAGGTATGTAAAATACGGTACGTATAAGAAATTGACTCATTATAACAAGACTGTTTTTTTAAATAGTAAAGCTTCAAAAGTTTTGAGTACGAGTGAATATTTATCACATTTGTATGAACAGTATCTTTACAAAGTTTGCAAATTGCAGTAGACTGGTGCACGTTGGATTTCACAAATCCAAACCTTCCCCACACAATCAAATTAGACCTTTTTCTTGAGCCAGTTTCTCCCCATCAGCCATGCCGCACTCCGTTTATTCGTCAGCTTAGCCAACCGCTCTATGGCCGGTGTGTTATTCACCTCGTGACACAAGTGCAATATTTTTAGCAGTCCGATGGTATATGAAGTTTGTTTTTACAAAGTTAGCTAACTGTGTAGAAAAGATCAAACGTTTTTAATTCAAGATTTCTTTTCAGTAATTTGAGATCCAGTGAAACAGGTAATTGACAAACAAGTAAGATATACAAACAGCCCTGCGATGCTGAAATTGCTTCGTTTCACACAAGATGTAGCACTGTTGTAGCCTCCAAGCACACACGCTATCGTGTGATAGGTGCTTGCCGATTTGTTCTGTCTGTATAATAATAGTGTTAAGTAGTACTTTATTGCAATGCTTAAGATAACTCTGAAATGCTTATTGTGGATGCAGTTGCAATCGGTCATGATAAATTATCGTCATATCACCCACCACTAGTTAAACAATCAATATTGGCATGCTACCAGTCCTTCACGTTGTTGCTGGCTGACTTTATCCTACTCCTGGTGCGAAAACAATTTAACAACTTAGTTTTGTTTGATGGAATGTGACTATCCGTCTTCCTCCTATTATTCCAGAGGTTTTCGATGGGTTTCCGGTCTTGAAATTGGGATGGCCATGTCTGGATCTTGATCTGGTAGTCCTCCATCCACACCTTGATTGATTTGGCATCTAATAATACCAGCCCCAGCACGAGTGTGGCTGGGTTTGTATTCTCTGTAAGCTGCACAGCTGGCCTGTTGGCCTGCCTAGTGCTCCAGGCGGCCCAAGATCACATGCCTGCTAGTCCACGCCTCCACCATCTCCGGCTGACCTCCCCGCTCCAAACATTTCTAAGCAGCTCTTGCCAGTAACCCTTGTTCACAGCCCTGATCAACTGAGTCCCTCCTCTAAGGGTTAACATGTCACACACACACACAAACAAGCACACACGCATGTTTTAGCTTAATGCATTTTGGGTATGGACATCGCAAGGCCAGAAACCTCGAGAGAAGAAGAGAAGTGGGGATACTGAAAAGGAAATTTTCCCCTCATGCAAACTCTTCGTGTCACATGACTGGGAACATTTTGGTATCAAAATTGGGTGTGTTAGACGACAAGAAGATCAGAGTTGGACAATAGTGCACAACGGAGGTGATGGTGACAAAATTATGTCTTAAATGTATGTCCTTCCCTTTCGGGCTGAGTTTGATTTTTGTATTCTTCATTTTCCTTTTGTCTCAGTTTGGCACAGAGTATCTAATTCTTAAATTCAACAAAACGTTTAGAATCTGAACAGAAAACCATAACCATACACCTATCTCTTTGTCAAATAAAAAAAAAAAAGAATGTGACCTATGTCAATCTTGTACAGTATTTACTTCTTTTTGGAGTTTGAAGAGGGGACTTTATCCTTTATTATACTTTGGTACAAAGTCGGAAGTAGGTCTGAAGCTGAGCAGAGACAGTGACATCACTGTTCTCTGGGCTGATCTATAATGTGTAATGTTGGGGTTTTCGTTTGATCATGTGGTGCAGGTCTTTAAGAAGGAACAAAGTACACAATCCAAGGTGGTAACGGGAGCAAATGGGGGACTTTAAAACATGAATATTACCCTCCATTTTATTGTTTATACGATCTACAAATGCGGACATACACTCATTCTCTTATGCACCTTATTATGTGTCACTTCTGTTGAAGACAGATACCGTGACAAACGTTGATGATGTTGCAGATGCTTCCTCAGTCTGGCTGCTTGTGAGAGAGCACATGTCAAAGTCACAGCTTCCTCTGGACACTTTTGTCTTACCCCCCCTTTTAGGCCATGGTCACCATGCAGGCCTCAGAGCCGCGGTCCGTAAGCAGCAGTGTTCTTCTTTACATATTTCACCGGGTTTAATGTTAGATCAGAAGGGCATTTGAAGGCAGTGGGCCTTCTAGCCTGCTGCCTTTGCTGGTGTTCAACTCACTGTAGGAAAGTTATACAGCTGAGGATAATATTCCACTGGGACAGTGGGGAGATCTCGGAAAGGATACCTGATGCTGTTTACTGGCATCCCTGTCGTGTGAGCAGCAGTTTTGTTGGCAATGGTCAGGTGCAGATCAGTGTGCTGGTGGGAATGTCAGTGTGAATGGAAATGTCAGTGTGGAGATGGCATTGTTAGTGTGTGGGTGAGAGTGTCAGAGTGTGGGTGGAGATGTCGGTGTGTGGAGGTAGAAATGGAACAGTTAGTGTGCTTGTGGGAATGTCATTGTGTGCTGGAAAGTTAGTGTGCGTGTGGTAATGTGGTAATGTCAGTGTGCGTGTGGGAATGTCAGTGTGCGTGTGGCAATGTCAGTGTGCGGGTGGAGACGTCGGTGTGTGGAGGTAGAAATGTCAGTGTGTGTGGGAAAGTTAGTGTGCGTGTGGCAATATCAGTGTGCGTGTGGCAATGTCAGTGTGCGTGTGAGAATGTCAGTGTGCGTGTGAGAATGTCAGTGTGCATGTGGGAATGTCAGTGTGCGTGTGGCAATGTCAGTGTGCGTGTGAGAATGTCAGTGTGCATGTGGCAATGTCAGTGTGTGTGGGAAAGTTAGTGTGCGTGTG